ACTCTTTCTCTGCAGCACCTCCAAAGCCTGGATCCAATTTAAAATAACAAATGAAAAATTTAAAGACATAAGACCTGGGCAGCTCAAGAGGTCAGGAAGCATGAGTGAGTATGTGAAGAGCCTCTCCTGTAAGTCCACAATGTTAACCTGATCATCAAGGCAGTGATATAAAGACATGAAATGAAGGTTCAGTGCTGGGGAACAGTGTGATCAACACCTTACCTGCCATCTAATCAAAGGACTTTCACCTTGCCATGACTAACACACACTTGTATGTGTCCCCATGCATATAACATGCTTGTGGACCTTCTAGCTCAACTCTACCCTCCACCCAGCAATAACCATCCTGTCTGCCTCAGAGCTGGCCATTTTCTTCACAATATATTTCAGAATTCAATTTGCACAAGACAACATACATTTGGGTGATCAGCTACAACACTCCACTTCGTATATGGCAGTGTACTCCTCCAGCATGTTTAGGTAACCGTAATTCAGAGAATAGAAAAGCAGTGCTGATGGACTGCAATAAGCAACAACACATTCAGCAAGATCTTACAGAGTAGACTAGGAAATGTCAACCCATGAAATACTTGAATACTTCTACAACTTGCTGCTGAGGAGAAGCACTGTTAAACCCACACAGCTCCACATGCTCTTGGAAACAGTTATCCTCCAATCAAGCTACTTGGGTAAAGTTTTTCTTACAGAGAAACAAGGCTGTAGCCAAGTTTGATATTTTCCATTCATTTTAAATTTGGTTCATCGAAAGTCTTGTTTTAAACCTTCCAATGCTCTTGCTCTCTGCAAACTTCGCTTGAAGGTTTGAGGACAAACCTATTAAACCTGGGATTCACATCTGGATCTCTGACAAGCAGATTTCTTCATTATCCCTAATGTTCCTGTTAATCTCTAAACTGGTTGCAGAATGGGTATTTTACTTTACAGGTTAACTTGGTCTTTCCAAGGGCCTGCACTAGAACTCAGACAGATTACAGGAAGTTTTCTATGCCAAGACTTCAGAGGGTTGCATGCTCTTTTTATAGCCCTGCTGCTCCATTTACCTTGGTCTGCTGTCAAAGTTGGAGATCTGAAACACTTGTACATTAGTCCCTGAACGAACTCATCCACTTAATCTCAGAGACCTGTAGCAGTCATATTCCATATATTTTCTACATCCAAGACTCTCTGCTTAATGGCTGGAGCCCCAACATTTCTCAGATTTCTCCCTCTCTTTCTCCTAATTCACCCTCACCACACTTCTAGCCACATCTCATCATGTTTTTTACTGCCAGGACTCTGCTCAGAACTTGTCAAAACCACTTCACTAGCAGCCAGAAGACATTTTCCAGAACAGAGAATTAAGACCACATACGATGTCAAACAGTTTTCATGTGATGTCTCCAAACAAAGTTCAAGACTTAGCTCCAACCAGAACATTCAGAATTTGTGACAGCCAAGAAAACAGTTCTTATACAGTGCTCCTGATGGATCTGATTAAATGGAAAAGTATGGAGACAATGGAAGATCATAGTTAAGCAACAGGAGAAATTGCAAGGAAAACAAAGAAGGGTGTGTCTAATTAACAGATGAAAAGGAGAAGATGAAATGCTGAGGAGAGAAATGGTGAAGAGAGAACATCACCTTTAAGGAAAGACAAAGTTACAGTAATTCCATTAAAAGTGAGACAAATTCAAACGCCCAGAGGCAGGACCCTGAAATCCTTGTCAAGCTAACTGGCATTACAAAGGGGCTGATTAGTCTCATAATCATGATTAGTCTCATTGGGCTCAAGCTGCGCCAGGGGAGGTTTAGATTGGATATTAGGAAAAATTTCTTCACGGAAAGGGTAGTCAAGCATTGGAACAGGCTGCCCAGAGAGGTGGTGGAGTCACCGTCCCTGGAAGTGTTCAAAAAATGGGCAGATGTGGCACTTCAGGACATGGTTTAGTCTAGTCTACCCTTGATTGGTTTAGTGTGGACTTGGTAGTGTAGGTTAATGGTTGGACTGGATGATCTTAAAGGTCTTTTCCAACCTAAACGATTCTATGATTCTATAAATATTTTTTATATCTGCAGCAGGATTACATAATGACCTAATTTCCGAAGAGAGGAGATACACAGCTTCAGCTGCTTTGTGTCAGGGAACATCAAGAAAAAGCACATTCATCCCTTTCCTGGAAAATCTTGGGTTTACACAACACAGAAATGAGATTCTCAGGTTAGCATAAGTATCATGAAATGTTCAAGATCCTCATGGAAATGCTTCCACTAGGGCAGAAAGTGTTCTGACTTTCAAATAAATCATTGCTCCTGCCTCCATCTGGTCTTGGTTCCTCTGCTGAGACCTGCCTCACCCCTTCTCTCACATCTACCTGTTCAGCAGCTGTGAAGAAGAAGAAGCAGCTGTGTAACAGCCACATGGCTGGGATCTGTGGTCTTATGGGGCTCAGACACACTCCCCTCAACATTCAACAGGAAGCACTTCTCCTGAATGTTGTGTTTCTTTATCAATGGCACAAATAGACACTACTGGCCCTTAACAAAAGTCTTCCCAGATGAGGTTTTCACTCAGCTTTTGTAAAAAGACAGCAAAATGTTCCAGCAGCTTTTCGGGGTGGTCAGCCCAGCAATGACTGGTGGTCTGCGACTCCCTAGTACTTCCATCACCGTCTCTTCTAACCACATCATCTCTCCTCTCTGAGTACAACCACTATGCCACTACAGCTCAAAGAGAAGCTGGTACATGAATGAGACAGTTGTGAATGCTCAGGAGAGTCTCCTACCTATAACTTTCTCATACGTCTCATGTCTTGTACCATACCTCTGAAGAGCCCAAGAGGAGGATACCCAGGAGACAGCAATGCTTATAATCTACTGTTGTTCTCTAAGCACAGTGTAATTTAATTCCCTTCCTTTCCTGTTTCTTCACACTAGCATTGGTCACTGCTGGCTGGGGTAGGCTGCTCCCCAAGGGATCATTCAATGTCAGATTAGAAAATACAAGCCTTCCACCCAAAAACCCCATCTCTGAAGGAAAAGGAGCCCTAAGAGTCAAGAAAGGAAGACCAGGCAACTTCATTGCTGTAAAGACCTCCAAATGTCCCAAACAAAACAAATCTCTGAGCGGGACAAGGCAAAGCATCAGAGGACTGTCATGATGAAATGCAATACAGAAGTTACTGAACAGTGCTCTTTGTTTGGCTTCATCTGCTCAGGCACCCAAGCACGACATGTCCTTGGGAACAGACCAGAGGATGGAGCAAGGGACAACTTTTCAACCGATACCCCTTCTACTCTGCAGACTCCTGGTCACTAAAAAGAAATTGAATTTCAAATGAACAAATTTGTATTCATTAAATAGAAGACCTGGCCTCTTCCTGACTGTTGTACTTTTGTTGTGATGAAAAGTAACAGCACTGTCAGGCTGAAAAAGGGTGAAGCTGGGAAACCACCCACTCAAACAAAGGAAAACAGCCAGAGGGGCACAGCACAAAACCACTGTACTACTTCTGTGTAAATACACGCTAAAAGTCAAGGACAGCAACTAAAATGAGAGATTTTGTGAAATCTTTTTAACTATTTCAGCACCTTAGTTGCTGCGTATGGTGATTTTGTCTCATTCCTAAACAACAGCTCCCACTCTACACCATCAGCTGTTGCTTTCATACCTCTATTTGTCTTCCTAGTAAAGGACTGACAAGGGCAATGTCCACAGATTGAGTTAAATTATTTAGAATAGTCCAGCTATTAGAAATCTGGGCAATTAGCTAATACTAATGGGCTACAAATGACTCCTAGAGTCTCCACTAGTGACTGATCTCACTAGGTAGTAAGCCACAAGTCTTCAGTAGGAGTCCCCCAGCATCACACATGGTCTGGCTGATAAATAGTCATAATTTCAAAAAAGAAGCTAGATCAGACACTCAACTCTGAGCAGCTCCCCACTGGACTTCTGATCAAGGCTCCATTTATAAAATTAGAACATTAAAAGCAAGTCTCAAAGGATGCTCAAAGAACATTTTTTTCCATTCAGGGCTGAAGACCTCTTGATGTGTTGCAAAGCATCAGGACTAGTTGCTGAATGCATGGTCACAGATTCAATCTAGAATGCTTTTCAGAAGGCACGTGCCTCATTTCTAGGCAACCATGCCCTCACAAATCAACAAACAGTGGGTATGAAATTAGAGGAAAACTGAAAACAAATTTCCAAAAGAAGTTCTGTCTGCATGAGGACCAGGTCTTTCTGCACCTGCCTCAGAGGAAGAATCCTTTTTGAGATCTGAGGGGGAGAAGCCTGCATCTCAGATCCATATCTTTGCTATATCTGTAGCACAGCAAGCTACTTTCACTGAATCACAGACTGGTTGATGTTGGAGGCACCTTTGGAGGTCATCTGGTCCACCTCTCTGCTCAAGCAGGACCACCCACAGCAGGTTGCCCAGAACTGTGACTTCTGAATACCTCCACAGATGGAGACCACAACCTCTCTGAGCAACCTGTGCCAGTCAGTGCTCACTCACCCTCATGCCCAAGGAAAAGAGTGTTTCCTGATGTTCAGAGTGAACCTCCTGGGTTTCAGTTCGTGCCAGCCCTCTGTGTTTCAGTTTGTGCCCATTGCTTCTGGTCCAGGCACTGGGCACCACTGAGAAGAGTGTAGCTCCATCCTCTTTGCAGCCTCCCTTCAGGTATTTATAGATATTGATGAGATTCCCCCTGAGCCTTCTCTTCTCAAGGCTGAACAGTACCAGCTCTCTCAGCCTTCCCTCCTAGCAGAGATGCTCCACTCCCCTTAGACATCTTAATGGCCCTTCGTTGGACTCTCTCCAGTATGTCCATCTCTCTCTTGTACAGGGCAGCCCAGTACTTTTCCCAAGAGCTCACCAGAAATTATGCACTCTCCAGACACATACTGCACTCCAATCCCACTCCTTCCTTTAGCCCAGCCAGTAACTCAAAACAACTTCTGTTCTGAGAAATGTTTTGAGTGGGGTATTTTTCCACCTGCTTCTTCACCTTGAATTCAACAAAGTAGAATTGACACAGCAAGGAGAAGCAAAGTAAAGGAGTGTCTGTCCTTACCAAACCAAATGAATTCCAGCGCAAAAAGTGAGATGAATTTATCAAAATTTACTGCATGTCTCATATGACAAAAAAAAATGACAAGAATTTATCCAGGGTGGAGAATATGTCATCCAAGGGAGAGACATTTTAGGTGAAAATGGCCACAACTTTCTATTTTAGATAAATCAGATACAATGGATGCCTGGAAAACATCTGTGAGATATTCCTTTGGGCAAAATTTTGAAGTCCTTAACTTCAGAGGAACTACTGAAACAACTGTGGAATGAACCAAATTATAGGTCAGTGCTTAAGTTAAGACTTGTTATGCTTAATAAATGTCTAGCTTTGGGAATGCTTGGACCGATGTGTTAAGGCTTACAGATGGACAAGTCCCTTTAAAAAGTGAAAAGACACTGACACAATGGCTTTGTAGTCAGTTGAAAAATACACTAACTAAACTTCCCAATTCTTTATTTCCCTGTTGCCCAGCCATTAGCCATCTTATCCAACCTCCCACAGGCTGTGCAGTAGCATAGGAGAGGAGCAGAAGCTGGGGATGCAATCCTAACCTACTTAAACAAATGGAACAGTATAAAAACCATTTTATGTGCTGAAAGTATTTATGTCTTAGAGCCAATTTACATCTCCTGACTGCTGCTTAGTGCTCTCTTTCTCTCCTGTTTCTTAAATCTTACCCACAAATGTACGACAAGTACAACACATGCAAAGTATTACAGTAAACAGCAGCAGCAAGAGCAGGGCAGGAGCATCCCTCTCCTGAGAACACCTTTCTTACCTAAACTGTGGCCATTTTTCGTGTAAAAGCAGGTATTGTTGATAAGGTTAACACAGCAGCCGATCACATCTCCAGTGGTGAATGTAGGGCCATAGGGTTGTCCTGTCCCCGAAGAACAGAAGGAGTGCCCATCATCACCATGGTACCCATAAGAATGTTTATCCCATCCTGCAAAAGACAAGACAAAAGAAAAAGTCAGCAATGAAGCCAGTTTAGCAGAATGACATGGCACCTACAGCTCTCAAGACACAATTTTCTGGTAGGAAATTTGAAATTTTGATTCCCACTCCTGATTCATCGCAATATTAATTTTCACATACCAGTAACTGAAAAGAAATTAATGATCATAAATCATAGCAACATTTGGATTTCAACCTCATTTGTCCCTTATGAGAAGTAATAAAAAGAACAGATTGCCAAAAGTCATTTTGACAAAGATTTTTTAAAACCCCTGTTTCTGTTTTATCTTGCCTGCAGTGAAACAAGCTCCTCTTTGTAAAACATTTGTGTTTCCCACTAACACAATCTTCCAGCAAAACCATTTAATAAAATAATTCTTGTCCAATTGCAGCTTTGTCCATAAGTGCTGCTCACAGGTGTAACTAAATGGCTTGAGGCAATTTTTGCACTCTCACATTTACATTTCCCTTTTAAGAGTTTATAAGGATTTCTGTGTTCCCCTTGGGCAGCAACATTCCCCATTCTGTGGACAGCTTAAAACACAACCCTTAAATGTCAATGGGCAATTTTCAAAGTGGTCAGTTCTAACATTAATATCTTTTATTTCTTTTGCCAGTAACACTGTGCCTAGAGTTAAAGCTGGGCTCAGAGATTGCACCCTACCCACTTGCTCTTTTCTACATCTCACAGTAATTCCATCATTCTGAGTTCCTGATTTTGTTCTGCTCTACCCCAATTCTGTTGTAAATTCTCTTGTGAATTTCTTACATGTAGAAATGCCAGATATAACTGTGAACTATTGCAAAGAAGAGAGATTAATCCATACTTTAAAAGCTGAAGTGTTCTTCAGGCAACACACTTGTCTTCTCTTTTCAGGACTCCCATCTCCCTCTTGCAGAGGAGAGGGCAGTGCTCCCACGGTTGTGGCCACACAGTGATTCAGTGAAGGCCACCTGAATCTACTAACCTGTACCTGCCAACTTCAGTTGCCACTACTGCTCATCATGGCTTATCCCTTCCTCTCTTAGCAGACCAGCTACAGCAGGCAGGGAGGGAGTAATGAGGAACAGTCCTCTTACCAGAGAGTTTAAAGAAAACATGATACTCTCTTGTCTTATAATAAGACTTCAAGAAGAATCAGGATCTTCTCCAGCTCTTTGAAGCATTCATATGAATTACACAACCAAAACCATCACATCTTACAGAGAGATGTACTTCTATGAAAAAGCATGAGATAGACACAACATTAATAAGAACCACCCGTGTTTTAAACAGATATGGTTGGATCCTTAGGCAGACCGTGCCAACTGAAGCAGAAGCAAAAGAAGGTGCTTTGACCACCTATTGACCTTGCACAAACTAAGGGTAGTGCAAAATCTGTTAAATGTGGAGCGATGATTTTGGCAAAAAGACTACAGAAGAAATGCAAAGACCATGAGAGAAGAGGGGTTAAAAAGCAGAAAGCGCACATCCTGCAATAAGGCAAAAACCAGACTGAACACACTGCAAACCACAGAGAGGAGCCCTGTGAAGGTGCGCCAGAACACTTTGGCTAAGCCATGATTTTCCTACAAAAAAAACAACATAAGGGCACTAGAAATTTAATCCCATAAAATGGTGCTCAGCTACATGCACTCAGGTGTCTTATCATCAGTGGACCCACACACTCAGGTTTTCTCAGAAAAGCATTAAACATTCGGTGCATGCCCAAGGCCCTCCATTTATTGCACCACACCGCATGAATGCCAGCATGCAAGTCAGGGAATGGAGCAAGACTGAAACATGCCATGGTCCAAGATTTTGGACCTCAGGGCAAAGTTTGGGAGTGAAAGGTGTGAAGGACTCCTAGCAAATGCTAGTCTAGAAACAGTGAATAATTTCCTCTGTTAAATCCCCCACACCCACAGGAACAGACTGAGATGTCCCAAGAGTCAGCTCTGTCTTCCCTAGGACCAGCTCCTAACAAGCTGTTGACAGTAGCACCAGTCCTGTTTAATATCTTCATGAAAGACAGGGACAACAGCACAGACAGCACCCTCAGCAAGCTCAAAAACAATGCCAAATCGGGTTGCCAAAAACAAAGGAGGGAGTGATAGGGGCTCTAGAGTCTGTTGTCAAACTTCCACTTCTAAAACTCCATCCACTAAAAATATCATTGAAATACTGAGTTTTTAAGACCATGGCTCCTTTCCACTACCCCTTTTATTTCCTCTGCTGCTGGCCTGTGAAAGACCACCATTGCTGATTTATTATTTTAGTCTCTCCAAACACAGACCTGTTACATGTATGTCAGTTCAGAATGTCTCTAATGAAGCTGCTTCGCAACTTCAGATGATAACTCTAATCAATTTCTCTCCTAAGCTAGTTCATAACACAATCCACATACAATCTTCTAACTCTTCTGCATAAAAAAACATTCCTGGCATTACAATGCATTTAATAAGAACTTGGCATCAATTACATCTAAGTAGTCAGATGTTTACACATCACGCACCAGGTAGGGCTACCATGAAAAATGCAACAGCATGCCCAACTGTGAGGACAATTTCAGAAAACACTTGTGCCAATGCATACACTACAAGTTCTGTAGTATAAGAAAAAAAAAAGGTTTCATTACCTACAAATCATTACTGATCCTACTGAAAAAAACCTCCTCCTGCTCCTGTTAGACTTGTGCTTCATAGTATCAGTACTTGCTGTACCACCAAACGTGGTGATGAACACGATGAGATGAACTCCAATGAGAAATGACTGAATAAAGCTCCGAGGACAGTGTCAAATTTGGTATGTATTGCAACAGTGCCTGGAAAAGCTTGATTTGAATCTTATTCTCCACAGACAACCACTAATATCACCAGTTAAGGAAATCTCACTCACCCAGCATTTTGCTAATGATACACAGAGTTAACTTTTTCAACTCAAATATTGTGTAGTGCTGAATCTGGACCAGACACAACACTAAGTGTTTTAAATCCAGACTGTCAGCCTTATCAAATCACCATGGTCATGTTAAAAAAACATTTGTTTGAGAGAACTTAAGGTACTCACCATAAACATAAGCTGAGTAGTGTTAATTATATGCCTAACCTTTAGTTATTTATTAATCAAATAACATATCGGTATTTCTAAAATTCTGGCTAGAATAAAGATAAGGGCAATGGCATACAGGTCATTCCAGCACTGGCCAACTTCAGCCAGTCTTCTGAAATTTCCTAATAATCTGAATTAAAAATAACAATGAGCACTTCTAATACTTCTAGGTCAAAGTTATCTGGGCCTACCAATTTAAACAGCGTATCCCTATCAAAAGTATTTAGCATTATCTTGGATTACCAGCAGAGTGGGGAGTAACTCATCACATGTATTTTGCAAATACATACTCCCAACTTCTCTGAAAATAAAAAAACCACTTGCTGAAAACTTGGGACTTTTCCGCATCATTAACAATTTACTATCGCCACCTAGTAATAGGTCTATGATATTACAGCCTTTTCTTTGACTCCTACGACACTATTCGCGCCGCCAGTTACTCAACTACTTCTTCCTTTACAAAAATCTAACACTGTTTTAATAAGGGCTGAATCAGACTTCTATAAGCCTTCCCCACACTTACACCTGCAAATTCTCTGGACATTTTAAACTTTGTACCACTTATACTCAAGTACTTTCAGAAGCCACTGTTGTGACCCAGAAGGCAGAGATGAGATGTTATCTGCATGTTCTTAAAAAGGCTGACCATATGGGACATGGGGTCAACCCAGACAAGGATCCTCTTCAAGAAGTGAGACAGCATAAGCATAGGACACGCACATATCATGCTCTTACTGAACAGCGTTACCACTTTCCAACTACCTGCAGCATAGAGACATACTGAGCCAGATGGAGATTCTCTTCGCTTGTACTCCTCAAAGGATTTTCTTTCCATTAAATTGTCCAATCCTCCTTTAAGCACATGTAAACATTGATACCATCCACTGTATCCTGCAACAAGGAGTTTCACAGCATAACTGCAAGCTGCATGAAAATGCACCTCCTACTACTCGTATTTGATACCCTGTAGTTCTTGCACTGGAGAAGATGGCAAACTATGTGTTCAGTCTCTCCAGAACATGCATCATGATATAGACCTCTACAAAATCCCCCATATTCATCCCTTTTCCACACTGATGACTCCTGGCTTATTTAGCTATTCCCCGCATTTCTGACCATCATCATCTGAACCTTTTCTGGATTTACAGTGTTGCTTTTGAGAATGGAGATGTAGGTGCACCATGGAGAAGGGAAGCAGGCTGTAGTTGTTCTCTGTACTGTTCCCTAGCCCTCTGCGAGTTAATTCTAGCATTTTCCCCTTTGTTATCCTTTTTACTACTGAACTGATGTTTCCATGAAGCTATTGTAATCACTGCAAAACACATCATCACTCTTGTGACAATGCGCTCTCTGCACAGATTCTCATCTGCCATCTCATCACCAGTGCACTCAGCCTCAGCTTACTCCCACAGCTCTTCTTCAGCACCTTTCACCTTACCACCCTCAGTGGCTCGCAATCCTCAACAGCTAGAGCAGTCCATCCTGGGCTAGCAATGTGCAAGCAGCTGCTTCTATGAAAACCCTGGGAATACCCATGCAGAAACAATTTCTGACTGGTAACTCATTCCAACAAGGCTGTGGGGTTTAAATAACATCTCATTTCAGTCTCTTGGTGATAGCTGACATCTAGAACAATGGACACTTCACACTGATGTGCAGCTGACCAAGTCTAAAAATTCTCAAGTGCAAGTGCAGATTCCTTACAAAATTTCAGAAATCTGGACAACAAGATTGGAGAATGTGCTTTTCTTATAAAAAGTAGATCACGGACCCTCAAAGGACCATTCTCAATAGACTGAAATCTAGTGAGCTAGAATGGCTGGAGGGTCCAGTTAGCACAGTTCTCTCATTCCTTCCTCTTCCTTCCCCGTCCTCTCTTAAAAAGCACAAAGTCACTT